TGTTTTAAAATAATTTGATAATAATGAACGAGGAGCGCTGTAATTTCGTATAAAAAAAAACAATAAAAGTTAAAAAATTAAAGGTTTTTTTATCGGCCTCTTGCATCAGCTCATAACAATATTTATTTAATACAAAAATTCTGCAGTTTATTTGTGCACAAAATATGACGCTCCTAATAGAGAAGACATGAAAGAATAAATTATTATTAGTACTTTCATTGTGGAGAATTTTTCAATCTCTATATTCAATAAAAAGTGAACCTAACTTAAAGTCGATAAAACAGATGTTAGTAGCATATGATATCAAGACATGATAAATTAATTAATTAATTAAATATGATGTATTAATTTATTGTTTTAAAATAATTTCCCTAAATACAATTTTTTTCAGTTGTAAATCTTAGCAATTTTTCACCCTAAATGAATTAATTAATATCGTATCAATTTAGTTAATGTATAGTAATTTATAGTTTTAAAGTTAATTTCCCTAAATTAAACAATTTTTCAGTTATTTATATCGTAGCAATTTTTCACAATAATTAAATGATTTAATTTATTAATGATAAAAATAATGGAAATGGATTCATATATCTAAATATGATTCATGTGTATGACAAAATTATGCTAATGATATTAAGTCATAATTAATTACAATTTTTCATTTTTTTATTCCCATCATTTTGATCATTAAAAATTATCAAGAGATATAAAAAACTATAAAAATTATATAAGATTTAGACAAATTAATTTCACAAATATTAAATAAATAAATCGTATTTTTTCAAAATAAATTTAAGAGAAATTTTTAATTTAAAATATATTTAATGTTGAAAATTAAAATATACTGACTGCTTTTTGTTTCTTCAAGAGATAATGAAAATATAATTAAATTTTTGCCAAATTGTATAGAGAACTAATGGTAAAAAAAATATAAAGTTTGAATTTATCTAAATCTTAAAATTTTTGCTAACATCTTTGAAGCTAAAATATTTGAATTTTTTAGTGCATAAAATTACATTTATATATAAATCTTATTTTTGTGAAATTTAAATAATTCATTGCAAGTCACAAAACCAGAAGTACCTCGAAAAAAGGAAATGAAAAATAACTAAACTTTGCAGAAAAATTCGTAAACAAAGCGATGCATATAAAGACAGAAAGGGAGGAGCTCTTTGATTGTAAAAAAAAATTTTTAAACGAATGATATGGCTAAAAATTTTTAAGTTTTAAGTTAATTTATTTAAATCTTAAAACTTTTGCTAACATTTTCGAAGGTAAAATATTCAAATTTTTTGTGTATAAAATTATATTTACATATATATATAAATGTATATAAGTTTAGTTTTTATAAAAGCTAAATAATTCGTTGCAAGTCGCGGTCAGAAGCAGATGGTCCCTCGAAAAAGGAGATGAAAAAAATTAGTTAAACTTTGAAGAGAAATATGTAACAGAAGCATATGAAGATAGAAGGGGAGGATAACTCTTTAATTGTAAGAAAGAAATATTTGAAGTTTTGAAATTAATTTATTTAAATCTTAAAATCTTTGCTAACATTTTTGAAATTAAAAACACTTAATTTTTTTGTGTATAAAATTATATGTCTTATTTTTACTAAATCTAAATAATTCGTTGCAAGTCGCGACCAGAAACGCAGATGGTTCCTCGAAAAAAGAGTAAAAAAAAATTAGTTAAATTTTGCAGAAAAAATGTAACAGAAGCGATGCATGAAGGTAGAAAGGAAACTCATCTTTAATATACATGTACTCGTGTTAATTCTATCGTATGATCTTCCGGACCTCGCGTGTGCGCTCGCTATCGTAAATTTTCCGCGCTTTAAAGCAAATTCAAAGCGAAATGCGCAATCCAGCCACGTCAGTCGCGAACGGAGATATCGTGTCTCCTTAATTGTGGCCTGTTCTGCGTTTACCACGTCTCGCCACGACCACTTAACTCGCCCACGAGGAGATCGCGAATTATATTTACACCCAGACGGGTGTCGTCGTCGGCTCACTTATATCCTCGTTCGTCTTCTCGCCGAGCTTCCTTGTTTTAGTCCAATAAAATTAGACTTTCACTTCAAACAAATTATAATCAAACTGAATTTTTGTGTGAAGACCTTATTTATTTCGATATTCTAATGAAATCCTGAAAAGTATATACCCTTAATTTCAGCCAGGACGTTTTTTTATGGGAGATGAAAAGGGATAAATTGTAGTTTTTTGCTATTATCTCGAAGACTATCAATTTTTCGAGAAAAATAGTTATTATTAAAATTGTAGCTCATAAAATTCCCTACAAAAAAAAGTCATACTTGTTTCCGTGGAATTAATCGTTTCGAAGATATAGAGCGAATTAAGTCTGAAAGAAAAGGTGCACATTACTACTTTGTAAGAAGTGCAGAAAAATTATATTAGAAATAGAATATTGCAACTTTACCGCACGTTTTACTCAAAAACGATTAGTTGTACGAAAAAAAGTATAATGATCTTTTTGTAGAGAATTTTCTGAGCTACAATTTTAATAATAACAATTTTTCTCGAAAAGTTGATAATTTTCGAGATAATTACAAAAAACTAAAATTTACCCCCCATAAAAAATGCCTTGGCTGAAATTAAAAGTACTTTTCAGGATTTCATTAGAACATCAAAATTTCGACGTTATTTATAAATAAAGGTCTATTGTTATTTATTAATAAAGGTCTCCACAAAAATTCAACCTGATTATAATTTTTTTGAAGTTTTGCACTTTTCAAGTCTAATTTTACTGGGCTATAGTTTTGCGTAGAAGCGCGCGATTAATACAAATTGGAGGTAAAAATAGAACGCGCGTAGAAATATATACGATAAATGACCGGCTAAATGAGTGTATCGTGTTGTAGTTTTTTTCTTTCATCAAATATACATTGTGTAGAGATCTATTTTTAGATAATATTGTCCCGGATGTCTCGGCCAACGCACGCAAAATATATACACAATATGTCAAAATTAATTTCGCGTATTATTTTTTTCTTTCTTCTTTTCATAACGTTTCATTCGCAGATAAATTATGTTTTATTACTATATAATTTTACAAATTTGCAAAAGCAACGAAACAATTAGATCTGATTGATATAATACAGACTAAAGTATATTATTTGTAGCTTTATATATTTTCTGTCAAATTCATTGTCAAAAATTATAATCGCAATTTATCACACAAAACATATTTCATCAATCAAATATGCTTTTTTAAAATTAAATTTTATTTATTTTATTTTTTATTAAATAGTATTAATAAAGGTATAATAAACAAAAATAATTATTTCTAATGATAATTTTTCGTATGTTTATCAAATCTATTGTTTATCACATTTCTTCTTTTCTTTAAAATTTATTATTCGTTCTTATACTAAAATATTGCTATAAAAAACATCCAGAATATTTCATCTATTTACACATGTATATTATTTAAAATTTTACCTTCTATTCTACATCATTATGCAGATGTTTCATTGTCAATATTTTCATCATACTTTCTGATATTATACGCTTAATATTTCTTTCTGATATTCGCGTCTCGATAAAATATTTCTAAGTGGCTAAATAAAATCCGAAAAGGGTAGTTCAAAAAACAAACGGTCTGCCAACGAAAATGCATTGACGGTCCGACGAAAAATCGCTTTAAATACACGAACAAAAAGGTGTCAAGTCGTAGGTCCTGCATCCTCATCATTTTTTAAAATGGACTTTTTAACAAAAATTGATTCCTCACGTCATTCTATGAAAATAAAACTTTATATTAATAATATATTAATAATATTAATAATTTATATATTAATAATATTAATAATTTATATATTAATAAATTCTATTTATTTATCTGTAAATCTATTTATTTATTGTATATGTAATTTAAAATTTTATCTTCTATTCTGCATCGTTATACAGATATTTTATTGTTAAAACATAGTATAATATAGATAGATTAAACATAGAGATAAAAAATGAAAGTAAGATAGATTAAAATGTGAATGTGAGCACATGCAAAATGCATACACAACGCATATATATATATATATATATATATATATATATATATATATAAATTAGCATTATTCGATACATTTCTTCTTTTCTTTAAAATTTATTCTTCATGCTTATACCTACTAAAATATTGCTAGAAATATTGCTAGAAATTGCCTATAAAAATTTTGAGTAATATTAAAAAATGAATTTGATGCATGTGCGTGCATACGACATAAAGTTATTTCATTTTATATAACAAATATTTCAAGTATTATGCTATTAAATGTAAAATATATGTATATATATATATATAATTATTTCCGTAAATAATATTTATTCAATAAATGTATACACCTCAAGTTTTATATGTAGTTAAAATTTTATACGATGAATAATTTCGTAAAGCAATTGTTACTGATTTTACACAACTCTGCAAACAATTTTTAATGACTGCGTGAAATTTAAAAGTGACAGTTCAAGTAAACGACCTATTCGGAAACAAAAATACGTTGCTGACCGGTCGACCAAGAAGCTTAAGTACACGAAAAAAACATTTCAGATCGTAGGTCCAGCATAGCACCAAAAATTAAGCGTCTAATTATTGTATAATTACCGACAAGATACCTGTTGTATGTAACCATATTATTTTTGAAAAAGCGTTCTTATCTAGGACAGCTGGCATATTTTTGCGTGTGTGAAAGTAGAGATAATGAAGAGAAGCGTTCAAAGGCGAGATGTCCACCGACTGCGTGAAATCTAAAAGTGACAGTACAGGTAACCGAACTATTCGGAAACAAAAATATGTTATTGACCGGCAGACCAAGAAGCTTAAGTACACGAAAAAAACATTTCAGATCGTAGGTCCAGCATAGCACCGTGGTCAAGGGTCCAGCATCCCGAAAATGGAGATCCCGAGTTCGAGTCCCGAGTCAGCCGCCTTCGTCCGACGTTCGCCACGCATACGAGTATGTTACAATTTATGTTTGACTTAGTTTAGCCGTGGGGTACATCGAAGCACGAGCACCCCACACTACCAAAAATTATGCGCCTAAGCTATATTGTAACATACGATGTATAGCTTACAGTCAAGCTGCGCATAGTCCTAATGACTGAGGGAGAACCGCCTTCTTGATCACGGTAATCCCCGACGCTACACCTGAACACTTATAACCATATTTTTGAAATAGCGTTCTTATATAGACAGCTGGTGTTATTTTGCTCACGGAATCATTTCTCGGTCCTCGCCATCTGTTGGGGAAAAGTAGATATAAAAATCCAAACACGCACACGTACATACACAAACACAGGTTTATATATACACACATATACATAAATATACAAATACATGTCTCTCTGAATTATATTTTTGTTTCTACAAGAGACGGCGATAAGCATGAAGTGATTCCGCGTAAGCAAAATAAAATCAGCTGTTCTGTAAGGAACCCTATTTAAGAAATAAGTTCCCATTCGACTTGGAAACAGGTGTCAGAGAACCGTGATTTACAAGGCGATTTCTTCAGACAGAAGTTTGCTCGTGTGACTGCTTCTCTGCAACTATGTAATAGACACATAATTTTTTGACAATCCTCAAAAGTCTTGTGCAACAGGAACTCTTCACCGAAATTAATTATTTACTCTTTTATCTCGGAACACTTGTGAAAAAAATTTCATAAACATTTATCTAAAATATTTTTGGATGTTCTTCTCATCTTATAGAGAATGTTTTACGAAATATACCTTCTAATTTTACTATAAACAAAAAAGGGGATATTGTATATTTTTTTGAAACTAATCTACAATTATAAATTATTTAATATTAAAATACTGTAATGCTTTATATGAAATTTTAATTTTAGGGGGTTTATATTTTAATAATTAAATTTTATTTTAGTTTTTGCTTTTTCCATATTTTAAACTTTCTATATTTTGTACTCTTCAAAATTTCGTAAATAGAATAATCATCTTCGTAAATAAATATGATTAATATGCGCGTAAATTAGTGAGTAAAAAATATCACTCCGTAAGGGCTGCACTCTAAAAAAATTTATTGAATTTGAATAAATATCTATATTTCAAAATACTGCCTTATAAATTATTTATTTGATTTTAATAATAATGATTTGATACTTATTGTTTCATGTAAATGATTTCTAAGGCAGTATTGAAATAAAATATTTATTAATTTAATATTTTTTTTCGACGTGTCCAATATCGTGACTAAAGGGTTTCTTTCGATAATAAATATTTCAAGTCTACTTAACTAATCCTTGTTACATTCGTTTATTTCCAAAGCTTTGCAATTTTTATTTGTTTTATTTTTGTGATACGGGCATTTAAAAAATCCATTACACAATTTATTACTCCTAGACGAATTTATTGATTATCGTTGGTTTATTAGTCTACGGTAAAATGTTTTCATGTACAAAAAATATGTCATATTTGATTCCATGTAGTGTACTTTAACAGTATATTTAGGCATAAAGTATATATATTCAACACTCGTGTTTTAAATCGTTCACTGCTTATTTTTATTTTCATACACCGAATGGAGTCGAACATGACTTATTTCTCGAGAGTGAAATATGTTCGATAGATTATAATACACCAATGAACGACAATTAACAATTGACAATAAATCACATACTTTCTTTTCCTAATTTTGGATTGTGCGGATTTGTACTTTTGAACTTATACCTCGCCGCAAAATAACACAAACATAAATTATAGATCTAAATGCGAAATGAATATGATAAAAATTGAGCAGATCGAAAAACTGAACATATTTCTAAATGATGATAACATGTTTCGTGGACTAATACAATAATACGATTTGTTCATTTCAACAATTATTTATCATATATGTATGTATATAATACATTTAATATTATATAATATTTTATAACATTTATAAAAAGTAATTAAATATAAATTTAAGAATAATTAAACTAATGATCAATAAATTTATCTTATCATAATTACTAAAACTCTATATTTTTGATAAGAAATGTGGAATGTGTGTAAACTTTTATGTCTTATCCGAAAAATTAAAAATAAATTGTAGAGTTCTGAACACGAAAATGTTTCGCTCTCACATCTTGATTATATTTTTCAAATATTTATATAGACTTGTCTCTCGATTTTTTATGCTGAATATTGCAAAGTAAAATAGATATTCTTTTCTCCTTTATATATCCAAAAATCAAACGAGAAAAATTGTAATTGTTGATAGAAAATTTTATATTTATTAGTTGCATTTTATGATTATTAGTCAGGTGTAAAAAGATTTTCGCAATAATATCTCGCTAGTCTTGATATTCATGTATTAGATAGATATTTTTTGCAAAATTTATACAGACAAAAAATTTGACTCTTTTATTTTATATCTAAAAATATTTTTTTTCTGTGGAAGACTATCCTTTTTTATTTACGAAATGTCTCATAATTGATAAAAACACCCAGTTAATCCTTATTACAAATATCAATTTTGGCAAAACAAAAAATATATATATTCTTAAAAAAAGAAAAAAGAGTGAAATAAATTAAATTTTTGTGATAGCTATCATTTACAAAAAAAATTAATTTATACCTGCTTAAAAACTGAAGCAATATTATAACGTAATTAACGTTAGAAGACTTGAATTAAAGGAATTAAAAGATTAATTCACGCGCGATTGTATTCCAAGAATCTTACTCAGTGACACGTAATTATATTAACAATGGTAAAATTCGTTTTGGATTCATGAAATTCAAATTTCCTGTTCAATCATGGAAATTTACGATTCATAAAATATCGAAGCGAATATCGCACGAAAAGGAGCGATGCAATATTACGCATGGATCGATCCTTTTATCGATGTATGCGAGACAGAGACGACGCATATTTATGCAATGAAAAAATTATTTAATTAGTAAAAACAGTTTGATATTATGCCTTAATATACCGTTATAGTACACTACATGGAATAGAAAAATATGACATATATTTCGTATAAAAGAATATTTTTCTATAGACTATAATAAACCAACAATGATCACTAAATTCGTCTATAGGAGTGGTAAAATGTTGTATGAATTTTTAATACCCGTATTGCGAAAATGAAATAAATAAAAAATGGTAAAGCTTTGGAGATAAACGAAGGCCACAAAGATTAGTTGAGTATAGACTTGAAATGTTCATTACCGAAACAAACATTTTTAATCACGATCCATTGAACACACCGAAAAAAATTAAATTAATAAATATTTTATTTCAATATTGCTTAATAAAATCATTTGAAAAAAAAATATTATACTGTTTTAAAAATAATTTTTTGAAATCAAATAATTTTTCACATCCACTCAATATTATTATATAGTTTCAAATAAATGACACTTATTATATAGACAGTATTTAAATAAATATATTTAAATAAATATATTTAAATAAATATACTTATTCAAATTCAATAAATTTGTATTCAGTATGCGTATATTCAACATATGACGAACTATTAACACTTACAGAATCGCGTAGGGGGTTAAGCTGGAACCGCATCATAAATTTATCTCCAGCCTTTTACTTATTCATATATTGGATTATAAATGAGTCTTATACCGTCAGCCTCCATTAGCTGCCATTCTCGACAATAAATGCATTTCTTCGCGGTTGCAATTAATAACGATTGTCCCTCACAAGTTAATGGTATCTCGCGCAACAAAGAGATATTACGTATAAGATTATACAGAGTGGGCCAAAAGTTCGGAAACAGTCGAATGTCTCATAAACGATGCACTTTAGAAAAAAATCTTTCAGAAAAAAGTTGTAATGTTTCAATAGATATACATATATGCATTCAACGGCACAGTACGAGTTTGACCATGAATGGCGTTGCTAAGGTCAGGGATTATCTTGAATTTTTTATATGGAACCACCATATTTTTCTTATATAAATCAATTTCTCGAAATATTATGCATAAAAGATTATAAGAGTAAGATGGTAAAAAAATAAATAATTTATAAAATATTTCATACTTTAACTTGACATAGGCTTACATGAATCCTATGAATATATATATTTCATTAAATATTCATTTTTCGATGATCTTACCATAATATTTCCATACATTAAAAAATGAGAGGAATTGATATATATAAAAAAATATGATAGTTCCATTAATAAAATTCAAGGTAATCTTGCCCTGATTTTAGCAACGCCACCCAAAGTCGAAGTGAGAAGATCAGTAAGTAGATACTTTTAAACAGTACAATGTTCATCTAAAACATCTTTTTCTAAAATACATTGTTTGTCAAATATTCGCCTGTTTCCGGATTTTTAACCTAATCTGTACGCCTCTCTTCATTATCTCTACTTTCACACACGCAAAAATATGCCAGCTGTCCTAGATAAGAACGCTTTTTCAAAAATAATATGGTTACATACAACAGGTAGCTTGTCTGTAATTATACAATAATTAGACGGTTAATTTTTGAGGAATTGCCTCTACTGCTAAACTAAGTCAAACATAAATTGTAACATAGTTGTATAAGCGTGGCGAATGTCGGACGAAGGAAACTCAGGATCTCACAGCTGGACTCTTGACCACCGTGCTATTCAGGACCTACGACTCGAGATCTTTTTTTCGTATACTTAAGCTTTTTGGTCGGCCGGTCAACAAAATATTTTTGTTTCCGAACAGTTCGTTTACCTGAACTGTCACTTTTAGATTTCACGCAATCATTGGACATAGCTTATACAAAGACGCGTAAAATCAGCAATAAATGTGTAGCAAACGTATTTATTACATGAAGTGGAACTACACATGTAAAGCTTGCTTTAATAATGGACGCACGTGTATTGTAAAAAAAAATGTTTTCTATAGAAATTAATATATAACATATATATGTATGGAAATAAATATATAATATAATTATATTATATATATATATATATATATATATATATATATATATAATATAAATATTTTTCTATAAAAATAATATATATATATATATATATATATATATATATTTATTATAGAAAAAATATAATAAATAAAGTTCGGAAACTGTCGAATGTTTTATAAACGATGCAGTTTAGAAAAAAATATTTCAGACAAAAGTTATAATGTTTCAATAGATGCATTCAACGGCGGTACATGAAGAAAAAATATATTAAATAAATATTAATTAGTGAACTTCTTGTCTCTCGACCAAACTGGCAGAAGTATTTGTTAATTTTACAATCACGTTTCGACCATTGTTTTTAGGT